TCACTGTAAACCACGGCTTCATGGGGCTTATTGCTTTTATAAAACGGTTATTCCATATACGTAGTAAGGTTTCACAAAATAAAACAGAGCAAATAAAGTGTAATGATATTAATAAAAACAGTATTCTTCCACCAAACAATGTAGCTCCTCAGAAACAGTTGTGGTTGTAACAAAGTGGTTGCCGAGCAACACACAGAAGTAAACAAAGGTGTATGTTACTTTGTAGAGTCATTTACAACAGCTTTGAACGCGGCTCAGCCAATCAGAATCAAGCACCGGAACTATCCGTTTTATAATGATTAAGGCATTTAATGCAGCGCCCCATCCAGACTTGTCTGATGATCATGATGCAGGACGACTGATTGTATGATAGAGTCTATTGGAATGCAGTTATTTGAGCCTAAAATTCAAGATATAAGGCAACAAATTCACCCTCTTATATTTATATCATATAGTTTAGCAATATCGCACCAGCAAGAGTGCTGTTTTTCCCCAATATCTGCACGACTGCACATGTGATATTGATTTAATAGTTCAGTAAATAAGATATTGTGCCAGTTTTAGACACAATATTATCAATATTGTCCGTTTTGCTCAGTTTCACAAACGAAAGTAGTTCAAAGCCACAGAAGAACTGCTGTGCATCTCTGATCAACACACAACAGAATGAATCAGCATCTCTGATCTGATTTGAGTGAGCCAGTGATTCATTGACTCGTTCATAAAGACTTGCTTTGTTTCTGAATGAATCTGCTGTTTGTACAAAACGTTTGATTTATTGATTTAGCCAGTGACTCACCGCCACCTACTGGCGATTTTAGTTTCATATTTAGAGGATAATTTCATTTTTTAATAACCCATTTATTTTGATTATTTATGCAATGTTTCATTTGGAAAATTTCTTTCTGAAGCCACTTTTCGTAATGTCAATTCAATGCTTTTCCTATTGAACACAATAACAAGTTCAAATAATCTTTTGGGGTGTAATTTCAGCCCAGACTGATGTGCGATTAATTAATCAGCACATCATGTAATTTTAATTGCTTGACAGCACTATTTATTAATCAATTAATTAATCAACCACTTTTATTTATGCGCAGCTTGTAACGTTAGGTCTCTGACTAACCGGCTAACAGCAATATCTAGAATGTGTCGATGAATAGTGAATGTTTGTCGTTGTTATTACTTGGAGCTATGATAAAGAATAGAGCAATACGTTGGTGTACAATAAGACTGGGTCATCGGACCAATCAGCGCAGATTAGCGTCACGCAAAGGAGGGGTTTGGAAAAATGAATCGTTGAGCGAATCGTTTTGAGTCGTTGAGCAAGTAAGGTAAAAATAAATGCATATTATAAGACAATGAAAGTGTTTTTTTGAGACTTTCATGCATGCATGTCAACCTGTTGTTGGGTACTCCCAAAACCAAAATATGAACCTTTCATAATCCATAATAGGGACACTTTAATAATCAATGCTAAATTGCATACAAGACGACTTTTTAAAGCAGCACTATGTAACTTTTTCTGTGTTCAAAATTTGCAAAATGTATATAATGAGCGAGTACATCATGAATTCTTCCAAACTGCGTGAATCGCCATAGACATAAACTTAGAGAAGTAGCTCCGGTTAAAATGTTCTTCCGCAGGATGTGTGCAGTTCTGTTTATTAACCACTAGAGCGCCAAATTTACATAGTGCTGCTTTAATGATATAATTCTGTTTCTACTCCAGTTTATTGTTGAAATATAAACTTATGAGTTAAGCTGAATGTTCCTGTGTCATAACAGCGGCTGTGTTTGTTGCTGCAGGTGAAGTTAGTGCAGCACACATACTCGAGTCTGTTTGGGACGTTCCTGTGTAACAGCGTGAAGGAGCGCGAGGAGCAGCGCGTTCAGGAGAAGACGTGCTCCATTTGGTCTCTGCTGCGGCCCGCCAACACTTCCTTCCACAACATCCTATACTCGCCGCGCTCCGAGACGGTACTGCACTCACATAAAAACATGAAAAAATCTTGTTGACCTCAAACTTTTGAATGCTAGTAGAAGTGACCTACTTAGATAATCAAAACACCACTTTAAATGCTGTGGTGTCTATCTAGGCAGCTCACCAGGTTTTGAATCTCTCCATCTCCGTCAGGTTTTGCACCCGGTGTGTCACGTGAGGAATCTGTTGCTGTGGAGTGCCGTCTACCTGCCAAACTCCGCCCCCTCCATGCCTTCTGACGAGTCATGTGTGCCAGACTCCGCCCCCTCAGCCTCACCCGAGGACACACCTGTGAGCAGGTAAACGAGACGTGACATACGTGTTTGTGTGTGCTGCATTTCCTTTTCCAAACACATTTTCAGCATCAACCATGTTTACATGCATCAGGGTAATGTGGTCACATGATGCATACTTATTTATGCGTTAGTAACTCTTTTAGTCGAAAGGAACGTAAAATAAAGCAATAAGCCCCAAGAAGCCGTGGTTTACCGTGATTTTATAACAGCTAAGGGGCGTTGTTAGGTACGACACGAAGCGGAGTGTCTAAAACCCTCTTAGCTGTTATAAATTCACTGTAAACCATGGCTTCACGGGGCTTTATTGCTTTTATAAAACGGTTATTCCATATACGTAGTAAGGTTTCACAGAATAAAACAGAGCAAATAAAGTGTAATGATATAAATAAAAACAGTATTCTTCCACCAAACAATGTAGCTCCTCAGAAACAGTTGTGGTTGCTACAAAGTAGTTGCCGAGCAACACACAGAAGTAAACAAAGGTGTATGTTACTTTGTAGAGTAATTTACAACAGCTTCGAACGCAGCTCAGCCAATCAGAATCAAGGACCGGAACTATCTGTTTTATAATTGCATTTAAGGCAGTGTTATTTTAGTATCACTGAGATATTCATATTTCAATATACATTTTTTTAACTCAATACTCATCATTTATGCAATGTTGAATCAAAATATTTCTCTCTACAGCTACTTTTTTGTAATGTCTGTTTAATGCTTTTCTCATCTAACATTTTTTATAATGATCTTTTGAGGTGATAATTTCTCAGCCAAAATTGATGTGGAATTAATTTGATTAATTAAGCGGCACATCATTTGATTAATAAGATTAAAAATGTTAATCACTTGACAGCCCTGTTTTTTTTTTTACATTTTAATATTAGTTCGTTTTAGTAATTTCATTGCATTTTTGTCTTCTTTTTTTTTTACTGTTGTCTATATAATTTTTATTTCAGTTTAAATTTTAGTTATATTAGTTTTTTATTTCAGTTTGTTTATTTTCTTTTTAGTAAAAAAATATATTTTTTTGTGTTTTATTTTTAGTTTTAGTTTTAGTTAACCCTGATTTTACTGCATTCCCTCGAAATCAAACCCAATTTCGTTAATATTTAAAATTATTTTTTATTTGTATATTTTCCATTTTCATTTTAACTTCAGTTAAAGTTTTACGCAATTTTATTGCGTTTTTGTAAATATATAAAAAAAAATATTTCTGAAAATTTTGTATACATTTTTTGTTATTTTATTAAATCAAGTTAAATCAAGTAATAATAAATACGAAGATAAGAAATAATGCTTTGGCAAAAACCTGAAATAAAAAAAGTTAATGTTTATTTTATTTCAAGTAACAAAATGTTTTATGGTTTTGGTTTTAGTTTTAGTTAACTATAATAAATACATAATAATAGCTACAGAAATGCTAACATAAAATGCTTACGTAAAAGTTTAAATAATATTTATGTTAAAAATGACCACATTTTCATTAATATTGAAACATCCAAGTGCATGTAAACACGATCATTCTCTGATTATGAATTGTGTGATTTACAGTTTTTTTTTTTTCAGGTTACCAAAGACACGGTCGTACGACAACCTGCCCTCGTCCTGTGAGGGTTTGACCCCAAACCGCCGCAGCAGCGACCCAAACCTGAATGAGAAGTGGCATGACCGCCTGCTCGCATTAGAGATCAGCGTGACGACAGAAGCCTGCGGAAACCACACGCAGACGTCAGAACGAGGCGGCCTGGATCAGAGACTCGGCCTAAACACGAACGTTTCTGATGAATTAAACACAGATCGTCCAGAAAATGGGGCGGAGCTTTCTGTGACTGACAGCCAAATGCAAAACACACAGCACAGGAAGCTGGATCTTCTGAAAAACACACCTGCCTTCGATATCCCAGAGGAATCGGCTCTGAATGAGAGCAACAGTGAGGACCAAACACTCGAGTCGGAAGAAAAACGCCCACCTGCATCCCAGCATCCTTCGCAAACTAACAAAAACATTGAATTAACACCAGACGGGCTGCTTCTAGATAACTGTACTATTACCCATGATTCTTCAGAATGTAGCAGCCAGTCTTCCATGGAAAGTTCTTCCAGTCCAAACCACACAACTCAGACTCTTAATGGCATCTGCTCACCTTCCCAGCATCCCGTTCATCCTCTTTTTCCGTCGGCTGATAGGGACGCAGCGGGAGACGCTTCTCCGACGTTGCCCCACAAGCGTCCGCTGGGTGTTTCCGGGCGTTTATCGGCGTTAGGGCACCTGGATAAGGACGGCTTGAGTCTGCACAGTGATGCTGTACAGGTGCGTCTGCGGCAGATGGAGGCGGGGCATCAGCTGCAGGTGGAGACGCTGAAGAAACAGGTGCAGGAGCTCTGGAGCCGTCTGCATGTCAACGGGAAGCTGGTGAGGAACAAACACACGTTACGCGTTTAGTGATAACAAATCGCATGAGTGGAATTAAATGCTATGAAAATAACTTAATTCACATTTTTCATTTAAATAAGGTCTGTTCACAGTCACACTAAGGACGATAACTATAAACATAGTAATAATAATCGTTCTAACTCTAAGAGAATAGCAGAGTCCACACCACAACTATAACAATAATGACACGGAGGGGTTATATGTGACCCTGGACCACAAAACCAGTCATAAGGGTCAATTTTTTAAAATTGAGATTTATACATCATATGAAAGCTGAATAAATAGCTTTCCATTGATGTATGGTTTGTTATGATAGGACAATATTTGGCTGAGATACAACTATTTGAAAATCTGGAATCTGAGGGTGCAAAAAAATATTGAAAAATCTAAATATTGAGAAAATCACCTTTAAAGTTGTTCAAATAAAGTTCTTAGCAATGCATATTACTAATCACAAATTTTGATATATTTACGGTAGGAAATTTACAAAATATCTTTACGGAACATGATCTTTACTTAATATCCTAATGATTTTTGGCATAAAAGAAAAATCTGTAATTTTGACCCATACAATGTATTGTTGGCTATTGCTACAAATATACCCCAGCGACTTAAGACTGCTTTTGTGCTGCAGGCTCACATATTGTAAAAATATCACTTTCAGAGCAATTTTTTTCCCCAGCTGATGAACCAAAAAAAAAAAACACTGACAGCCAATCAAGCGTTTAAAGCGGCAGTCGACAAAACTGCAGTGCGCGTTTAGAATAAACAGAATGTTATCATCCATTGGTGTAGACACTAATATAGTTATTGTTATAGATATCTGTGTATTGTCATAGTTATTATTATAGTTATTGGTATAGATCTTGTTATAGATCCATTATAGTTATTATAGTTATAGTTAGCTCTATAGTTATCGTTACAGATATTTTTATTGTTATAGTTGTCGGTATAGATTCTGTTGTAGTTATTATAGTAATAGTTAGCTCTATAATTATCATTATATCATTGTTACTGTTATCTTTACTGTTATAATTACAGTTACTGCTATAGTTGTCTTTAAAGTTATTACAGTTATTGCTATAGTTATTGTTACAGATATTATTGTTATTTTTATTATATTTATCGTTAGTTATAGTTGTAGTTTTCGTTATAGTAATTATTATAGTTATCAGTATAGATCCCATTATAGTTATTATAGTTATAGTTAGCTCTATAGTTATTGTTATTATGTTTACTGTAGCTATCATTACAGTTATCGTTATAGACATTATTACTGTTATCTTTACAGTTATCGTTACAGTTACTGCTATAGTTATCTTTGCAGTTATAGTTATAGTTATTATTATAGTTATCGGTATAGATCCCGATATAGTTAGCTCTATAATTATCATTATAGTTATCGTTATAGACATTGTTACTCTTATCTTTACAGTTATCATTACAGTTACTGCTATAGTTGTCTTTAAAGTTATTACAATTATTGTTATAGTTATTGTTACAGATATTATATTTATCGTTATAGTTATTTTTGCAGTTATAGTTATCGGTATAGATCCCGTTATAGTTAACTGTATAGTTATTGTTATAGATACTGTTACAGTTATATTTATAGTTATCCTATAGTTAGTTACAAATATTGTTAGATTTATAATATTTATCCTTGTAGTTATCATTACAGATATTGTTACAGTTATAGATCTTGTTATAGTCATAGTTAATATCATGGTTATTGTTATAGATCTCTTTATATTTACTGTTTTTGTTATCATTATAGTTATTGTAATGGATGTTTTAGTTATAGTTATTGTTGTAGTTATAATTATTGTTATATATATATTAATTACAGATAGCATTATAGCTAGTATTATAATTAGTTTATTATAATTATTATTAATTATTGTTATAGATATTATTTTAGATATAGTTAGCATTGTAGTTATTATAATTATTGTTACAGAGATTATTTTAGTTACAGTTAACGTTATAGTGTTTGTGGTGTAAACGGACTTTGTCAGCGGTGAATCTCAGACTTCCTGTTCCTGTGTGACGCAGACGTCTCTGCCGGACGGGGAGAATAACATGGAGTCGGGCTGTTTGCAGCGCTGCGGGAAAACCGATCTCTTGTCCGAGTCCAGCTGGGAACAGATCGAACAGCAGGAAGCAGAGGTGAGCGGATCAGACGATCAACACAGTTAAAGGGGTCATCGGATGCTAAATTCACTTTACATGTTGTTTGAACATAAATGTGTGTTGGCAGTGTGTGTACACATCCACTCTATAATGATAAAAATCCACCCGGTGTTTTTTTTTTTAAATCCCTATTTTAAAATCCCCTTTATCAAATCAGGCTGTTCTGAGATTCCTGTCAGAATGACGTAGTTCTGTAAAGGCCCCTCCCACGATAGTTGATTGACAGGTCCGTCTTACCTTAGACCCCGCCCTGAGTGAGCTGTCATCAGTCCGCCATTGTGTCGACTCCGGTGCAGGGGAAGACAAGAACATCTCCGATTAAGCGATTGAGGTGTTTTGTTGCTGGATGTAATAATGAAGATAGCAGTCGTCATTTACTCCCGACATCTGAGCCGCTGAAGACACAGAGGATTAACGTTACTTTCGTTTTTGAAGGGAATGCGCCGATCCCAGATCTGCCTAAATGCGTTTATGTTCGCGCGAATCATTCGTGATCCAGCTTCACCTACAGAAGAAGTGAGCTTATTTGCAAATCGCCTTTCCTAATAATGTGCTAGTTAGCAAGTTTCGCGGCTGAAGTTGTTTACAGTCTGCTCGTCACCCCACGGAAGAGAGGGGCGGGGTCAGCAGAGCTCATTAGCATTTAAAGCAACATGGACTAAAACAGCGTGCTGAAAACTATGCTGATTTTGACAGGGTTAACAGGGTGTTTTTTACACTACCATTGATAAATTTTAACCAAAATATGGTATAGACTTTATTAAGACCCTAAAGAATCAAATAAACTTGTGGAAAATGGGCATCCGATGACCCCTTCGCCAGTGGTTCAGTTCACAGATTTAATGAACAAATCCAGTAGTAGACTGTGTAAAACCTGAACTCTGCGTGACACCAGATTCAGTTCAGAAGAGGAGTGACTCTGAATTAGCTGCAGTATCACTGTGTACCGGTATCACCGGGGGTGGGTGTTTGTGGGGTTAGTTCGTTAGCGTTTTCCCTCTTTCCCTCCCTTTTCTTCGCTTGTAAATGCCCATGCGCATTTTACTTTCACTTTCAAATTAGCGGCAATTCAGCGTCAGTTAATCAACTCAATCGAGTGGACAACAACAAAACAAAGCAATGACAAATTCACTTATATTAAAACATAGAATGTTTAATTTATTTAACAAAATGAATAAAAATACACCATGCTGTAGGCCTGATATGAAGTAAGGAATAATTGACTTCGATCCGTCAAATTCTTAGAAAATAATGCACACTGGAGGTGGTGATGCGGCCACGATGCGAAGCGGAGTTACACCGTTACCCCTCGGGTGTGCATTATTTTCTAATACTTCAACAGACCGAAGTCAATTATTCCGCTTATACTACGTTTGCCACACCTCAAGACATCGATCAGATTATATATTTCAAGGCAGTTGTCCGGTTTTTGTACTTAAAACGCTATTGTGAGTAGGATTAATTTATTACGCATCTCATCCAACGCCTCCGTTGCTAATCACAAAACGTCATTTTAGACCTAGGCTTGAGCCGTTGATAGCAGACTAATGCAGCTATTAACTTAGTTATTAGAGAGAGAGAGAGAGAGAGAGAGAGAGATGACCTCTGTGAGTCTGTGCATCTCTCTAAAGTGTTTGGCAGCAATGTCTCTAGTAATAGTGAAACTTTAAGTAAATTTTCTTCACGAACAGCGCCGTTGTTGTTACCTCGCTTGTGAGAAATCATGTAGTTTTTAAGTTGTTAAACTATGTTACTGATAAAATCCCCAGAGTAGCGCTAACAACATTAGCGCGCATGTTAATGTGTGTGCAAACTGTATGTGCGTCTGTGAGGAAGAGAGAGCGGGAGAAATAGTTTGTGCTTTCCGTACATAATAAAAAACATGGAAATGATCTGTGGTTTTTATCCCATTGTTTACTATATTTATTTGTTTGGCCGGTGTCGTTGTGGGTTTTGGTTCTTTTGCAGTTTTAGGCTGTAAGGACCTTTGAAATAACTCAAAAAATCATTTGGTGAAGTGATATGGACATGTAATGCAGTCAAGAGCTGCCTGGAACTACTTTCCCTGAAAATAATATTGCACACCGTAGCACGTTCATCAGCCAATCAGATTCAAGCATTCATTGGCCCCGTAGTATAAATCACAAATAACCTACACAAAGTTTAAATATGAAAAAACACGGTGGAAACAAATAAATAAGAAACAACTGTTTAAAAAAACGTCCAAAATCACCCTCGGTAAACGGCAAAAGTGAACAGGTTTTACAAAACCCAAAATATTTTTAAAACGAGCACTTTTGCATTTCGTTTGGAAACTAAATCTTCTGCCATCGTCTCGTCTTTCTCACTTGATTAACACCGTCAACACACTGACTATCACAGCAAGCCTAGTGTGAACGTGACCTGATGTGGTTCATGTTTCTAATGCTTGTTGTAACTGTTTAAAAAAACTTCCAAAATCACCCTCGGTAAACGGCAAAAGTCAACAGGTTTTACAAAACCCAAAATATTTTTAAAACGAGCGCTTTTGCATTTCGTTTGGAAACTAAATCTTCTGCCATCGTCTCGTCTTTCTCACTTGATTAACATCGTCAACACTGACTATCACAGCAAGCCTAGTGTGAACGTGACCTGATGTGGTTCAAGTTTCTAATCCTTGTTGTGTTTGTGGTCATGTGACGCAGTGGTTCTCGGGTCACGCGGCGTCTCGCTGCTACGGGTGCGAGAGGACGTTCTGGCTGGCGGCGAGGAAGCATCACTGCAGGTGATCAGTAAGTGTGTGTGTGTGTGTGTGTGTATGAGTGAGTGTGTGTCTGTGTGTCGTTACCCTCCTCTGTCCTGACTCTCACCCGCTACGGACCCTAAAACACATTCATCCACAGCATTACTCAGTAGTACAGCCACGTGATATAAACAATATGCTTTACAGCTCAATATGCTTTACAGCTAAAGGACAAATACATTTTTTTTTTTTTTGTGGTAATCAACATTATGGCACAATTGCTGTGGATTGAGCTGAACTTCGTACTGAACCCGGAATATTCCTTTAAGCTTTTCACTCCACACTTAATGCCTTTTAAACATCAGGTCGAGCAACATTTAACACTGAGAAGCAGGTTAGAAGCAGTTTTGGAAACCATCTCGAGTCTCGTGCTCTTTCCATGAAGAGCACTATTTATTTGGATTGAATGATTTATTAATGTTTTATGTATTAAAATAATTTTAAGTAAATTCAGATGCTAAAAAAAAAAAATGTAAATGATATTTCTCATTTAATTTTTTCCCCATCAACAGCTTTTGTTTTTATTTAAGAAAATATAGTTCTTGAAAACTTCAGGAATCACAAAATTGATTGTGGTTTATTGATTTAATATGCTAAGATATATTATAAAATATTCTTATTTTAAAATATATTCATTTAATTATATTTAAGGATTTCTAATACTTATATTTAAAATTTTATATATTTAGAATTAAAATGCAAAAAATGTAAAAAAAAAACTTAAATGATATTTCTACTTTACCCCCTCATTTTATGTTTTCACAAAAAATATTTATTTAATATATAATTAAATAATCTGAATTTAATTATTTATTTATTAAAATTTTATGTATTACAATTATCTGAATTAAAACGCTAAAAAAAAGTAATAAAAACCTGCAAATGATATTAATTTCTACATTTCAAACAAGTTTTGTTTTCTTCTGTTGTTGAACTTCTTCAATATAATATATATTCATACACAAACTATATGAATTTTAAAATGAGTGTGAGTTTGTCTCTGATTCTCTCTCTCTCTCTCGTTCTGCTGCAGCGGCAGAGAGCCGGTTGAAGAGGCCTGGTGAGACTCTCCTCCTCTTCCTCTTCCTCTCTCTTTCCCTTCATTCATCGTTGTTTTCTCATGATCCTTTCCTCCATCGCAGAATCCAAACCACTTGATGCTTGTGTTCACACTAGAGCTTCTGGTGCCAATCCAGTTTAGTTGGTGTAAAAGCTGTTTACTAGTACCTATACATATACCTCTACTGCAATCACACGTGCTCGCACACGCACACTACGGTCACGCAGTTTGCACAAAAAGGTGTTGTCAGCGCTGCCCTGACGATTTTATCAGTTAGCCTATATAGTGTAGCAACTTAAAGGCTACACGACATTTCTCACTAGCGAGGTAATAACAGCGCTGTTTAGAGACGCTGCTGCAGAACACTGTTGAGGGACGCACAGAGCTAGCCTAATTCACACAAACTCTCTCTCTCTTTCTCTGTGTGTCTCGGTCTCTCTCGCTCTCTTTCTAACAACTTCATTAATAACTTCATTAGAATGCTATCAACGGCTCAAGCCTCCATTACCAGCTTTAAAATCACGTTTTGGAATATATATATATATGCACTACCGGTCAAAAGTTTGGGATTAGAACGATTTTTTTATGTTTTTTACAGGAGTTTCTTCTGCTCAAGGCTGCATTTATTTGATCAAAAATACAGGAACAAATGTAATATTGTGAAATATTATTATGACCCTGGAGCACAAAACCAGTCATAAGAGTCAATTTCTCGAAATTGAGATGTATGCATCATCTGAAAGCTGAATAAATAAGCTTTCCATTGATGTA